ATTCGCTCTGACGAAGGGCTAACGCTCGAAACGTCAGCTTTTGTAATCGTTACGGTGGCCAATTTACCATTTCAACTTTGTTGATATATCCAAATCATATAGTTAGAATAAATTAATTACATGTAACTCGTCAAGTCCTGTTATCTATTCAGGTTGTCTACAAGTCATACCAGGAAGTCATAAGGGTCCTTTTTATAATCACTTCATCGAAGACAAGTTTGCCTCAGAGATAAGCGACCCAATGTTTGATCCCAGCCAAGCTGTTCATGTTGAGGTTCCCTCGGGTGGAATTTCTTTTCATCATCCATTCACTGTGCATGGTGCGGCCGCCAATCAATCAGATCGATCAAAGCGTTACTTTGCGTTATCTTTCACCGCTACAGATGCGTGGCCTCTCATTGGTGTTGTGGGTAAAGAGGGGAAACTTTGGGGCCCAGTGGACTGGGACCGATATCGTTCAACTGTGGTCCGAGGCAAAGCAAGCAGGTTTCCCAGGATGGAAACTATTCCAGTATCACTTCCGGTTCCGTTTTCCACCGAAAGTATAGCTCCGTTCTACGCGCACGAAAGCAAATCGATACACGGAAACCCAACTAATGTTCTCTGAAAAATCATAGGCACTTTCTTAAAAATTTTCATCGAGAGATATGAGTAGGATATGAATAAAGAACAGTTAACAATGCAATCATTAATAACGTCTTTTAACTTTACAATGCAATAGATGTTTCCGACTTTTTTTCACTATTTCAAAAAGAGACTATTAACTTTCTAATCTCTTGCTCTCAAACGAGGTAATAATCTACAAGAAAAACATTACACGCGTCTGATTGGCTGAAAACGAGTGCATTTTTCATTTAATATAAGTGCAAATGACAAACAACGCGCGCGCTGTCAAAATTTCGTCTGTCTGTTCTGGTCCTCTGCTCTCGATATACGCTGGATTAGCGCTGGATTACAGCACTCTTGGAAGGCAGGACACAATTTGTCGAGTTAGCCTTAGCCTCCTCGTCATCGCTAGTATTGAACTTTAACGGAAGCATCCCCTAAACAACAAAACTGTCACTGATTCTAGTCACTATTATGGTTGATGACCTTTTTTGTGACTGGTACCCTCGAGCAAAATAAGTTGATTACTCGACAGCTATTGAGATTATCCCTAGAAATGACCCCTCGGTACTGAGCTACATAGTGTCTGACGTACAGGAGTTCGCTTGTGCTAATAACACGCAATTAAATGCAGCGAAATGCAAGGAGATGTTGGTCGACTTCCTTTAAAATAATAGTTTTTAGTGTCCGCCAGTTGCTTCGGGCGGCGTCGTGTTAGAGCATGTCATTTCCTTCAAGCTGCTCGGGTTTACATAACCGAAGGTCTGACTTGGGCGGTACACTGTGACTTTATGGTGAAGACAGCCAACCGATGACTGTACGCACTTAGGCGCAGCGTTGTACCAGCTCCACATATGATTCTAGTCTACACTTCTCTTGTAAAATCAATCTTAGAACACGCGTGCGTTGTGTGTTCAAACTTGCCGCATTATCTGTCAGATGCCGTTGAAAAAGTGTAAAAGCGCGCCCTTCAAAAAATTTTTCCTACGTTATGGTATACTGAAGCCCTGACAGTGATTAATCTACAATCACTTCAAGGCAGAAGGATCATGTCGAGCGAAAGGTTTGTTACGAGTCTTAAACCAAATAACCCTGCCAACAAACTCGTTAGAAGTCGCATAGTAGATACTCAATGTAATTACGCATTAAGACATAGAGCAAGAAATTCAAATATCCGCGGCACTTCGACCATCAGGTTTAAGAACTTTATCTCAAACAGATACGTTGCGTACATTTCACTTAACTAGTTTAAAGTTTTGCCATATATATGCTTGTTTGTTGCTAAAACAACTCTCTGTAAATGCCTTATTATTCTTTGCTGGCCAGACCCGTAACACAGTTATTTATACTGCAAGAGGTCCTGAGAAACGAAATTTCTATCCATCTATCTATCTATCTATCTATCTATCTATCTATCTATCTATCCATCTTGGCTTTCTGTGCCGGGTGCCCTCTTCTCTGATGCTCTCCCTGGCGTAAGGCGTGGAGGCTGGGTTCTATTCGCGATAACGAGGTTAATACATGAAAATGAACGTCACTATGGCAACAGAATCAAACGCTAGTTAGCAGAAAAAGATGGCGGTTGGGGATGGAGGAGTCGACGAAGTTGTTGAACAGCTGATAAATACCGCTTCTGCCTTAGGGAGTACCACTATTGACCTCAGCAAGAAAAGATTGACACAATTTCCTGCAGAAGTACTTAATCTACATCAATTGGAGGTATATTTTATATCATATTGGACTAACTTTTTTGCGCGTCTGGATATTGGTTTTCACAGTTTCTTGTTCAGTTTCTATTGACCTTTTCCAGTTGCTTGCCAACACCTTCGAATGGTGTCTAATCGGATGGTAGCGTTTTTTTCTGTAGGTGAGGTGAGTTGTTAATTTAATGGATTTTTCCTCCCCTCTCCGCAGTTTTTGTATTTAGAGGGAAATGCAATAAGCTCCTTGCCAGAAGAGTTGTTTGATTGCTTACCAAACTTGAGATGGCTCGACTTGAGGAACAACCGAATAACGGACATTCCTCCCATCATTGGAAAACACAGGTTTGAAAGAGATTTTGATTATAGTTGCTTTAGCTTTTTTTCCGGCTATGTCTAGATACCAAGCAGCCGGGCAAGATCTTAAGACTGAATGCTTGGCATTCAGAAATTTTCATAGAATTTCCCCTGAAACGCTCTTTCAAACTTATTTTACATGTTTGTTCAGAAATGCCAAGCGATTCCAAAAATTATCTCTATTTTATTTTTATTTTTTTGTGGACGATTTTTCCGAGCTTTTGCTTACTGTGGATAGTTAGGTTTTTTTACACTTAAACAACATTTCTGACCTGAGATTTTTTGGTATGCACAAGCTCGGGAAATATTCGACTGGGCTATTTAATTAGTCCATTTAAGACTGTGCCTGGCTTCGTTTTTTTCTGTTACTTACTGATCTGTTGTAATCTCATGGGTGATGTAGTGTGTCCCTTAAATTATGGATGCATGTCCGTGGTTTTTATAAAATTTGAAGTGCAGAAAAAGTGATTAATGGAGTCACCATATCATACATCCACAACACGAAGACAACTGTTTTCAACAAAGACAGTTTTTATAGACAGATGGATCATGACTTAATAGTCAACTGATATGCGAGGCTATTGATCTAGCTTATGAATTGAATCATGTAAGTCTTGTTATTTTTCTTCAACAGAAATTTGAGAAATTTATTATTGGAAGGAAACACCATAGAATCACTTCCATTAGAGCTAGGTGAGAACAAGACATGTTTACCCTTATATTTAAAATGCACATTGGCAGATATGTTAGAAAAAAAATACAACTGTGATAAAGAACTTTTCAGTGGAGTGTTATGAAACCAAAACCAATGTAAACACAATAGCCAATCAGAAGAAAGAGAAAATGCTTTGAAGAGCCAATGAGAACTCAAAGTAAAACCAACCAAACTGCCTAAAGTATGGGAAAAGTGTCCAAGTTGTGATTTGTTTTAGTTTTGCATCTGATTGGTTGAGAGAGTGACACAAGTTTTCTGAAAAAAGAGAAAAGTATAGAGAAATTGTATGCTGATGGTCAAGACCTGGGCTGGGTTGTTCAAAGCTGGGCTAAGATAACCAAGGGTTAGTGTGAGATCTGATTTAAGATCTGAAAGCTTTTTAAAAGAAAATCCAGTACAGTTATTTTTGTCTACAATCTGATGATTGTATATCCTTCAAAGAATAGAGAAAATTCTCTGAGAAAAGCTTTTGAACAAAGGGATCAAGATTCCCAAATCAAAATTTAACCCTGGGTTAGTGCTAATCAGCCTTTGAACAACTGGGCCTTGTTACTTGAACCAGTCCTTTAAATTTTTTCAACAAAATTAAGAACCTTGTTAATTTTTGCTGTTTTTAGGCTTAGTAAAGAGTTTATCAGGACTCAATATTTCCAGCAATCCACTTGAATTTCCTCCTTCATTTATTGTGGAAAAAGGCACTCAGGTAAAGCATGTTTGGAAATTGTTTCAGTGCTCCACTAGTTTTGCTGGGCCCAATTTTTCATTGGGCAGTTAACATTAGCCAATGGATACAGAGACTTGATTACCAGCTGCTATTCAGGAACTGGAGCCCGCACTCCTCCCCAGGGAGGAATAAAAAAGACCGGACTCGAGAGAGCAGCAGAAATCGAGCCTAATGAATACATTGCTTATCCAGCAATTGAGTATTTACAAAATGTATTATGCTATTCACTGGATAGAGACTTATATCCTCTGGATAGCATTGTCCACCTTTTGAACGGCATGAAGGATCATGCATAATGGGTGAATTTGTAGATTAAAGGAACTCTGAATAAGTGTTACATGAAGTTACTGCAGTATTTAGGTCTAGTCTTCTTGGATAAAAGAAAGAGCAGTGAGAGGTAGATAATGATAAAAACGGGCTGGAAAGAGATTTGTGATAAAAGAAATCAAAATTAACAGGTTTTCATCCTAAGTTATCTCTAATGCATCTGCCAAAAAACTAAAAATATTGCCTTTTCTACTATTTGCTATCCTTTAATAAAATTATTTTACAGAAATGGTTACCATCTTTATTTTGGCATAATTTTGTTTTTCAATTTCTTAGTACCTTTGAGATAAAAGGAAAAATTGCGACTGAGTTTCCAAAGTATGTATAAGAGACATTGTATAGCACATTCAACAAACATTGTATAGGCAAATTGGCCAATCAGAAATTGCAACATTACTGCCAATTGTGATAAAAAAAAAGTTTTTATATCGAATTTTATTTCTTAATGGTTAAACTACTGAGGCCACTCAATAATAACTGGTAGGTGCAGTTTAACCCTTAACTCTGAGAAGTGATTAACATGTAACTTCTCTCCATAATATCATTCAATACACTGAATCCAGGTAATGAGAATACTCAAACTTATCAGGTAGAAACTGTTCTCTAATGATCTAACACCAAATTATTGTAACTTATTTACAAGGAAATGTATAATTGCTAGAGGGGAGAATTAACAATCAGATATTGGAAGCTAAAGGGTAATCACAATGTTTTCGTATAGGAAGTACTCAAGTTTCTTAGAGAACAGTACTTGTTACAACTGCAAGAAAGAGGAGCTGTCCTGGTGGAAGGTAACTGTTGTTAAATGTTTCTTATCTATGCATGGACTTCTCAGTGAAATGGCATAAATATATCTTATTAACCAAGCGTGAGGGCCGTACTGGGAGAATATAGGCCTGAGGTCTTGACAGTATGGACCAAGAGCAGAGAGGTCCGTACAAAAAAGACCAAGGGCCAATATTCTTCCAGTACGGTCCTGAGCAAGCTTGGTTAATAAGAGATTTATTATACGACTGAAGTTCAAAGGGCCACAATTGCGGTATCATTCGGGACAGCGCCCGGTCCAATACTGAGAGAATATTGACCGGCAATAGAGCATTTTGATTGGTTAATTTTAGTTATTGGCCCTCTGACTGCCCGAGTTGTGTAATAATATGTGGTACGATACCTGTCCACAAGAACATTTATATTTTTCAATTGATAACAGATGATTAGGTAGATAGGGTTAATTAGATAAGAGAAACAATTCTGGAAAGATTTAAAATGAAACTCCTTGAACTAACCTAGAGAAGTATAAGAAGTATAAAAATGAGATTTGCTGTAAGATCTTGGAAGTGAAATGATTTTTGGAAAACAAAGTGTAATCTTGCTTTTTCTCGACCAGTTCTTTCAACCAAATATGGAAAAAGTATCCACCCAAATATCAACAGTAACCAAGGAACAGTCTCTTCGCTTGTTAGAAACAGACTGACCCCTTTCTAAAGTGCTGTGTGAGAGTCAAACCTTTTTTATGTGAAACTTCTCAAGAAATTTACAAAATATTAGCTTGGCATGTAGTTATGGCTTTTAAATGACCTTCAAAAACTTTGGAAATTGGTATTTGTGTACTGGTGAAATACTTCTGGAAGTGTTCTTAAATATAACTTGTGGTTGATGACTGCCCAAATGAGTGTTGACTTCCCAAGCACAATTCATCATTTCAAAAGTCATGTACCAAGACAAATAATTAGAATTTTTTGTTATGTGTTTGTCTTTCAGAGCACCCAGAATCTTCATCTAGTGAAGAATTAATGTTTGCTTCAACGCAAGACAATGAAATCACAGGTAAGTTTGGATACCACGTTTACATCCTGATACAGTGTTTTATGAACTATAAAAATCTTGAACTTTATGATTTGAGGACAAAAGTTTTTAAAAAAATTCATGAAAATTCAAATATGATAAAATCCTTCACCATGGAAACTGAATGGTTGTAGAAAATTCAAGACCATTCTATAATATCATGTACCCCATTATTACCTCTCCAGACTTTGCTAATCATAATTTAGTTAACTTGTTACACTGTAGCTCAGGAGAAATTCATTGGGTATTTCAAAATTCAGCCAAATATTTTTCCATCCAGTCCGACCATACTCAGTCAATAAGTATTTCGTCAAATGAACACTAACTCTTTACTATTTGGAAATTACGTTTGAACCAAAATAAGGCGCGATTACAATACATAGTAAGGACGCGCTCTTGACTACTGCATTATTTCTCCGAGTCACGATAAGAAACTCACAACTCATCGAAATGCTCGTCCAGTTTTATCTTAAGTTTAAGTCTCCTCGTTGGAATTCACGTTCACAAGAAGTGCGACAGAGCCGTACAAGTGCGTGGCCGGACGACTTTTTCTGGACTGGCTCGCATAAACCCATTCGGTCCCACACACGTCAGTTTTCATTGTGGCTTTCTATAGGATTATGCGGCAAGGGTACACTGTGCTCGTGATAATTTGCGTGCTCTTTTGGTGAAAATGTTTCAAACTAATTGTGGTTCCTTTAAGTTGTGGTTTCCTTTAACGAGATTGAGGAAAGGAATGATTTGATCAGCGGTAACGATGACGCTAATGATAAACATGTAGATGTTATTACAATGATTAATAGAAATGAACTAAATTAATTGGAATATAATGACTGTAATTTAAAGCCCAAACACTGATAATGGTTAAATAATAATGACAATAATAATGACATGAAGATAGTGGTAAAGGTATTAATAATTGTGGTCTTAATTTGTATAAAGGATTAAAAATAACCTTAACTTTGCCGTGTTTGTAACATTCCTTTCGACACTGAGAACAGGTAAACTAAGTATACATCGCCATTTAGAGTGCATTTCTATGGACTGTCCTAAAGTCAAAGTTAAAGTAATTACAATGCTTAATCAAAGGTAAGGGAAATAGAGCGCTTTTCGATTAATTACAACAGCCAATCAGATCAAGAAAAGATTATCATAAGGAGCCAATGAGAAGGCAGAGTAAAACGCGTAAACTTGTTTAAAGCGCGGGAAAACGCATGTGACTAAGGTGTGACTGGTTTTAGTTTTGCATCTGATTGGTTGAATGGCGCGAGTTTTTTGAATGGAATGGCGCGAGTTTTCTGGACCAATCACAGAGCGAAGGACAATGATAGTTATCTCAGATTACTTTCGACACCCAGTAAATAACGAGAGCCTCTAAGTGACACGCTGTCTTCTTCCACATAAGTTGCCTTAGTTGAGATGGTAAGAAACGCAAATTTGAAAGTGGATATCACTCCATTTAGGAATAGATTTGCTGTGTTCCTCGATCAAAAACTCAAGATAACTTACCTTCTGTTTTATTGCTTTTGGCTTGGGCAAAGTGTCGTGCGAATGATGCAAAAGAAGTGAAATTTGAATGCTAACTTTTTTCAAAAATATCGTGTTACATTTTGAGCAGAGTGTCAGAAAAGTTACTGATATCCACTTTTAAATCTGCGTTTCAGGGGAAAGAGAGCGCGTGGATCAAGTTGAAAACGAAAGAAACATTAAAGCGGATAGAGCTTTCAAGCTTCCGCCAATAATCCAAGCGGCAGCAGCGAGACCGAAAAATCGCTCAGTTGACGAGTCGGAAGGTAACTTGCTTAGAGGACAAAAAGCTCGGAAATTTGAACAGGAAAAGTCAACGCGAATTTTTGAACAGAAGTCGCCAGTGAGGACGATGAAGCACGAAGCAACATCACCGAGGAAAGTTGTTTCGTTTTATGGTTCTGGGATGAAGGACGGGAAAGTTCAGCTGGAACCCTTGGAGGGAAAACGGCGGAAGGGTGAACAATCAGATAAACACTTGGAAACTTCGAACAGGAGTTTAGAATTAGACAAAAATTTGTACATTGTGGATAGCCATCATAATGGAAGAAGAGATAAAAGCGAGAAATTGAAGAGAAGAAGACGGCCGAAGCCTGAAAACCCTCAGAAAAGTTTGCCTGTAGTAGGAAGCTTTGAAAGTCACAGCGATGTAGTTGTGTCGACTTCGGGTCCAGACTTAAGCAAGGTCAAGGAAACTGCCTCTGTGGAACTCCAGAAAGAAATACCAATTGTGGACGAAAAAACTCATAATGAAACTAAAAAAACTAAAAATCTCGAATATTCAGGTGCTCACGGATTCGACAGCAAAGGGTCAAAGCCATTGTCTGTGTTCGAAGGTGACATGGTGGCTGTTAGGGTGCCTGAGAAGCTGTACATCAAAGGACAGCCTTGTCTGGGTAAAGTAACATCATCAGTAGACCATCAGGGATTATTCACTATACACTATTTTACGGGTAGTTATGGAGGCCGATGGAGACCCATGATGAGTCGAACCAGCCCATATCTGAGAAAGGTGACCGCCGATAACATTCTGTGCAAGTTTAAGCTGACAACTGATGGCCGTATGTCGCCTATCACCCAGAAAAAGTTAAGAACCGTTGTTGACGATCAAAGAAATGAAAACAATGACCCAAAATGAGGCAGAGTTCTGGGAATGAGCTACCAATGAACCGAAAAGTTTCTAAGAAAGGAAAACAGTGCAGTTGCACTAAGAACAACTTCCGCTTTTAGGAGGAGCAAATCAACGTCTCTAGTCCCTTCAGCTACGAGAATTGGAAATTTTATTTTAGCTTTTATACTGACTTATCTAGCAGTAACCTTACGACTAGCAATCATTTCAAATTTCCGCCACGCTTTTGGATACTTAAATAACCCTTTAAGTACGATTTGTGCCCCAAAGAAAAGGGTTTTTTTTTGTTTTGTCGACAACAGGTCGTAAAATTCAATAACGACCAGAGGAAAACAAAATATCAAATTTAAAAAGAAAGATATTTTCACGTCCTCAAATTACTTAGGGTTTTTTTGGTTTGACCATGAGTCACTCTCAAATTTTACCTTTTTTATAGTTCACGGTATCCGTGGACCATATGAAAATGATCTGAAACATTTTGTAAATATGACAAAAGTTGATAATTAAGAAGTAGCTATATGTTTCTAATAATTGTTTTAGTAACCATGCATGACGCCTACAGCTCTTCATACCTTAAATTGGCAATACATATATATTTTGATAATTATAAACTCGAAGTAGACCTTTATATTGAAAAAATTTAATCATTAGTCTTTAAGAAAATCGTGTAAATTAATCTGTCATGGGCAGATGTATATGTAGTAGTATTTTAATAAAGGATTATGCTAACGTAAGTTAACTGGATAATTATATTAAAATTACCTTGATTGGCAGGGCGTCCGTTTTATTTTTTTTTAGCTAAACGTCCATTTTTGAATGTAAAGTCACAGTACAAGACAAGGAGTTTGTTTGATGATTTGGTTTTAGGAACTGAATTAATAAATGTAAATTGGCTACTGTAAAGAGTATCTTAAGCTGACGTTTCGAGAACAAAGTGCTAACGCTCGAAACTTTAGCTTTAGAAACTCTCAATTTACATTTACCAACTTAGTTCCTAAAACCAAATTATCCTTTCATACCCTCATTGACGCAGCACCACAGTTTCTTTAGAAACGAACCCCCCTTTAGAAAATTTGTTCGTTGATTCTTGACAAGTTTATGCGCCTCCTGTTTAGTATCCAGTGACACGATCTTTCTGCAACCCCTCTTTGGTAGACCATGCGCACTGAGGCGGGGCGAGATCACGAATAACACGCAGACGGGGAGAGCACAGATGCAGCATTCAGCTCTCGCAGGCTCTCGTGTCCCAGTTTAAATCAGGGACCGCTCATTATTTATCGCCCGGGTTAGAGGATTTTGTTTGTGTCACGATAAACTTTACTATGATTCCCCTTTCGTTAGCAGTTAATTTTCTGTAGCCTATCCTTTATACTCTGTCGACGACGACTGACCCCCTCCGTTCCCCCCTGAAAACCCCTTTAAAATCGTTTACCAACCCCCCGACGATAATTAATGACTATTCCCTAATTACTTGCACCTGCCGGTGTAAGTCATTCGCGCGAGGTCGAGTCGCGTTGGACAAACTTTAACCTAGCGTTTCCGTCTCGGTCAAAACTAGACCCTACAGTGAATTTTGATGTCGATTCTTTCCGAACAATTTTAATCCAGGTAAAACGAATGTCTCATCAACCCGCCGGAGAAGAAGCAAAACGGATTCGAAGCAGCTTCCAGGACCCATTAACGCGCCGGTGACATTCCACCCCCCTCCCTCACGGTCAGACGTGATGCGGCGAGAATATGACAAGCAACGGATGGAGCTGCAATCAAGCAGCGGACAAGCAGCGGATACCCGAACCAGGCAAAAGAAAACCAGCTCTAAGTCGGAGAGGTAGGGACCCACTGGTAACCCAACAAAAGTCAATTGATGAATTAGGGTTAATGTTGGATTAGGGGAAGGGTGGGTGTGCAGTTGCCCATACGGACTTTGATGCATTAATTTTCCTTGAGTTTCGTGAATGAACGTATTTCGAACTACAATTTTTTACCTCCCCCGGTGGTTTCTTTACTGTTTCGACACGCGACGCACGTGATCTGTATGCCCAGCCAATCATGTTTAGAACCTATAACTTGACAACAAGGTTGTAGTGGACACACCCTTTTCTGGGTTGAGCTTTAGCCTTTTTTATTTTCGATTTGTCGCGTTTTTTTTGTTTTTTTTCGTTTGGAGTGTAACTGACTTTTCCAGGGTTTGATTTACAACAAAGTGCTGTTTTTAAGTTGTTACATTTATAACACCTTTATTGACGAAGGTTGAGGCTCTTCCTTCTTTATCGGAAAAGGAGTTTTACAATATGTTTTTAATCAAGTAAGCCAGTAAGTACGTAAAACCAGGAAGACTTGATGTGGCCCGCAGTATGTTTTCTTCAACCGGCAGAAGGTTTAAGTTGTCATATTCTTTGTGGTCCTAACTTAACTTTTCTAAACTCAAGTTCCAGGTCAGCTCGGTTCCAGTACGACGCTAACGCAAATCCAACATTCCCCGATTACGAAACTCGGTTGGCTGAACAGCAAGAAATAGCGATTTTAGCTGTGATGAATGAAAAAGAAGCTTTGATTTTACAGAAAAGGAAGTAAGTTCGTGCTATTAAAGAGATATAGCAGAATTCGATGTTTTCTTATGCTAAATTTGATTGACACAGCATCATAGCAGTACAGTAACAGTTCACAAATTTGCTCTCTGCGCAACTCGGGTATCCAGCATGTTGAAAAGTTTGTTTGAAGGGGTTTGGTTAGCATTTACCAACTGATGTCGTACAAAAGCATTTAATTGGCTACAGCTGGCGTGTCGGGTTGTTTTATTTTCATAGCTGATCACTTATTTCGTAAAAAACAAAATGGGAATTAAATGTTCCTTAGAACCAATTGCATTCCCCTTGACTACGCCTTGGGATCATAGTATTAGAGAGATGTGTTTGTTCATTGTGGTTGTAATGAGAAAGAAAAGTTCGATCGACATTGATACTTTATCGATTGTCGGGTGAAACTATCAGTTGTAGATCACGGTTGTGGTAAGTCTTCGCCAGGTTGAAGGATTACGCGCTGCTAGTTATGTGGCATCAGTTGTTATTTGCGCGTTTCTGCGCGCTCTCATTGGTTCATTTCTATCCTCGTTATTATTCCGTCGCGTCGGTGTTTTTCCTACAGAGTTCCCCTCTGTTAATAATCGGATGCTAGAACCTGGTATAAGGTGCCATTTCTCACAGTTCAAGTCACTCTTCATCTCTCTTATATTAATTCAAATTGCTTTCTGAATGACTTCAGAACCAAAGGGATTAACGCAAAGGTGTTATGATAAAAAGTGAATCTATTTTGTGTCCGTCTTAAACTTGGGTTTTTGAAAATCATTTTACATTCTCTTCTAGGGATAAACAGGCCCTAGATGACTGGCGGCAACAGACCAAACTTCTTCGTCAACAAAAGCAGAGACTTTCCGTTGTAAAGGGCTCCACAACGGGTAAGGCTCCTGACAATTTTCACCGATTCGTTTGTCTCGGAATTACTAAAACTCTAAAAACAAAACTTGTACCTGATGCTAGAAGTATGCTGAACGCATATGAACCTAATGTATGATATTGCTCATGAACGAGTTCCCTGAAGCTTAATTGTCAGAACTGCGAAATCGCATGGTCCAGAATACTTCTGTTAGATACAATCACATCGCGTACTACAATGCTAAATTAGTTTCTGCATTCAATCAATAACTGCTTTAACTCTGGTTGTGTTTTGATTCATTATAGTCGAAGTAAAAGCACCTTATGGAACCGAAAAATCTGCTAAGGAAGAGGAAAAGGTAGGGTGGTTTTAAGGAACGGTTCGCTTCTCTAAGGGTGTTTCGATCAATAGAAGTTGGAAGTTAACATGGATTCATTATACACTAAACTTACAATAAATTGCTGAAAACCCAGTCTGTGGACCAAACATAAACTAGGATATTTCGTAACCATGTCGTGGTCTTTAAAACGACGGCAATTCTGGGGCTTAGTGAGACATGCAATAGGTAATGTTATGCTTCTTTCTTGACTCGTAAGAGGGTGTGATCTTGTGGTAAGCGTACAATGTTCTGTCAAGTAGTTTCGACAGTATGTGTGCACATGTACTCAAAAGAGATTCAGTATCCCAGTGGCTGGTGTACTAGACTCCTGATTGAAAGGCTTTGCATCGGGTCCTCACACGGTCATTGCGTTGTGTTCTTGGGCAGAGCAGTTCATTCTCACGATGCTTCTCCTCGCCCGGGTATAAATGGTCCTGTTGAGTACTCAGTGACACATGATGAAATGCAGGGAGGGGTGGGCGAGAGAGAGGGGGAATCCTGTGGTGGACTAGCATTGAAGTAGCAATACTCCTTCTCGACTCACGTTACGAAATTCAGCAGCTAAGGGAATCAGGTTCGTATGCCGATCTTTACTTCCATGCATTTTCTCGTTGAGGACAGCTTAGATCTCTACACAACTTGTGTCTGCATAATTCATGAAGGGCGAAAGATGGTAACAGCAGGAAAATGTTAAGCTCCCTCCGTGATTAAAGAATTAAGGAAATTAGATTAATTTTCCACTTTAAATCTTGTTTTCAGTCTCCTCATGGCTATGCGAAGAAACTCAAGGAACTTTTGGAAGAAAAGGATGACAAGGGAGCGGCAAGAAGGTGGAGTGCTTTAAATAGTACATAACAGCTTGAAATTTGGGGCTGAACTTAAAAACGAAAATAAGCAATAAAATGTTTGGTCCTAAACTTGTCTTTTGTGGAGTTTCAACGATCAAAATGGTGGATGAGACAACATAAATAATTGGCAGTTATTTATGTTGTCTCAACCACCATATGAAATTTTTACTCTAACTCAAAGACTTGTATATGATTTAAGAACTTTTCTCCTGTTTTAAGTAAATGTGTCGCCACTAACTCCCTTGGGTACAAAATGCGTCTCATAAAATAATACTTTACTCACCGTTAGTGACTTTTTCCTTTTTTTTCTTTTAATGACAGGGCCCTTGGAGACCGCGAATTGGAGAAAAGAATTAAGGTGCACATGGAAAAATTGAAAGCGCACCGAAGCAAAACGTACGGATCGGTAGAAGAAGAGCTTGAATCTGCGATAAGGAACTTAGAAATGGTAAGTGTGGCTTTTATTTTGGACCAGTGCAGTTTCGATCGAAAAAAGAAACAAAAACAGACACACAACAAAAGAATCATGAATCATTCTGTTTCTATTTTAGAAAAATTTTCAGTTGAATGTTGTAAAACCAAAACCAAAATTATCACAACAACCAAGTAAAATTCCTTGTCGAGCCAATAAGAACATAATTTAAACCCGGAAGTAAAAACAAGCAAACTACGTGAGACGCGGGAAAACGCGGATGACCAAGTCGTGATTCGTTTCAGTTTTGCTTCTGATTGGTAGAAAAAGGCGCGAGTTTTCTGGACCAATCAAATAACGAAATAAAGCAAAAACAAAGCAATCCCGAATCACTTTGGACACTCACTTAATCAAGGTATTCCTCAGAACTGAGCCAAGTACACAGTTGTTGAAAAACAAAACTCGCGATAGACTGGTGGCGTTTGCGAAACCTAAGGAACATAGGAATCGTCACCAATGGGAAATTAATTTTTGTACTGGTCTTAATGCAACGATATAGTATTAGAATTAAAACTGCGTTGAAGTTAATGTAAATATCTTGCTCTAACTCACTAGACGCGCCCCTCTCCACCGTTTTGGTGATCAGGGTGCTTACTTCTACCAACTTTATAACCTCATAACCCTCCGCACCCTAACATCAGTATGCAAGTTCTCCATACTGTTATCTTTACATTTAGTATGGTACATATACGGAGAATTTGTCTAACCATCAAGAGGACTGTTTGATTCAAAGTACTGTAATGCGTTAAAGAGTTAACCACGGCTTCCTAACCACAGGGATTTACATCTACGTTTTAACAAGAAGTTGGATGCTTATCGTTTTTCGTTTGATTACAGGCTCGTGAGTATCAACGTGAAGTCAGAGACAGGAAAGAATTGGAATATCGCCTGAGGGCCTTTACTGGAGACGATGTATCGTCAATGAGTTGGAGCACAAAAAGAAGGACGAAAAATGCTCCGAAATAAAGATGAACTGCTTGGATAATGTTATGTACAAAGGATTATTGTGGAGAATTTTACATAGAGTGGTGTCTGAGTTAGATTTTAAGATTAATATATAATGAACGTTTTCTATGATTTGTGGCCGTTGGTTACGAGAAGGAACTATTTCAGAATGTGTCATATTTCTACTTTTAAAACTCACAGTACTTTTAGTTTCCTCACTTGTGCTGTTATTCATTGTGCAAAGATTGGACAATAAAGATCATAGTTACAGTTTGATTTATGCTGCATTACGTGGTGATCATTTTGCCGGGTTCTGGTGTTACGACACTCCATCGTTAGTAGACAGATTAAAGAAAGTAAGGCTCGACGTTAGCTCTCCGCGACATTTTCACGACGTAGGTTTTCCGAAACTTGTGCACATTGTTTTGAAAAGCCTCGCAAATTAATTCCTGTATCTTTACAGAGTCCCTACTTAAGTTGCCTGTTGACGAAGGTTTGACGGTAACTGAAGTTTCAATCACTATCCTCAGTCAAAGTAGAGCAAGCATGCCCGGGCGGGGCTTACCTTGCCTGGGTTCCAGGAACAATGCCCCAGAAAGTAACTGCCACAAAAGAGCAAAACAAGGAGAAATCATGATCAACTAATCTTGCTCCTTGTTAAATAATAACAGCCTTCTTATCTTTAAGTTTTAACAGGGAGGAGAACACGGATTACTCTTGTGACTAAAACGAAAGTAATTCTAAAATCGATCAACGGCTTTTAGTAGCTCTGTTTGCCCTCTGCTGCGATATGTACTGATATACTTAGTACGTTTTGGACCGCGCAATTAATTGATGAACCGCACATCAAAAGCCAAAGCTTGAAGAATAAAACCCGACAGCGATTATACATGCAAAAGAGAAGCAAATCCTGCTGCAAAGAACTCCGAGGTAAATTTGAAAATGCGGAATATTTCGCAAGCGAGTAAAATTGAGTTAGATTTTTCGCACGCACTGACGCAGGTAATAAACAATAACGCACGTGCTCGCACCGTTTGTTTGCGTCACAATCATGGGACTCACGCCAAGTAGTAAAGAAGAAAGAAGCGTCGACAAGTAGACACATGGATTGAGTGTATGTAAGCAATCAAGTGTGGTTTGTGAAAGCTGGACTAGACAGCTATAATCAAGTGCGTCTTTTCGGTCTGCCGTGGTATTCTCAAGAGCGACGATGGAGCAGTAGTTTGCAACGATACATGAGTTTTGAGTGAAACACAAAAACAATCATCTTGATTTAACGGTGTGTTTCCAGCGATCTTCGACTGAGTGGCATGAAACCAAGACCTAAGTAATAACAAAGACCTAACAGAAAAACGAAAAATGTTATTCACAAAGGAACTACGCTGCCGAGAAAACGCTCTTACTCAAAGTGAAAACAAGTTAACTGCTTAAAGTGCGGGAAAAAAGGGGGCGCCGAGTCATGAGGGTCTCAGTTTTGCATCTGATTGGACGAATCACAGTGCGGAATAATGCTAAATCAAACAATTCAGTGGGCCTTGCTCAAGATAGAACATGATTGTATGAAATTGTGTTGCAATGAGTAAAACTTTCAACCAGGTTTAACAGCTTTTCATGATGAAAATCTATTATATTTGCGCAAATCGATTATTATTTGTAGCCACTTAAGTACTAAAGAAGCTAACTTCTAAACACAACCGGAAAATAAGAGCAGACCGGCCTTTAGCACTCGACTGTTTTAGAGAAGGAAAGTAGAAGCTGTAACATGGAACATCTATCAAAGAAAGGACAAAAGAAAAGAACTTGACCAGCGAATAATAACTCTGAAAAGAAATTTTTCTGCGGAAGCTGTGTCTTCCTCATAAATTATCCATGAAATAAAAAATCAGCATGTTCCATGTAACACGACAAAGAACGGATCGCAACACAAACCCAAGTTTGCACATGCGCCCACAACTTGCTTTACTCATTTGCATATCCTTCAGTCCTCGTGGTGGAAAGCCAGCGAAGAAACCAGGTTGAGGAAATTGAGGTGGACGACGAAAACCATTAGATTAATGGGAACAGTGCGGTGACCGTGGGTGGACAGCCGACCTTTTGCATCTGACAATTTACAACGAGGAGAACAAGGTAAGATTTGAAATATTCATAGAGAAGATGTAATGTAATAGCCGCAGTGTGCAGGAGAAATTTAGGTAGCAAAGTCGCTCTTTAAATTTAGGATTACAGTTAGGGAGTTGTGAAATTTGTTCAGGGGCTTGAGGGCTTGAGGTTTTGGACGTTTTGAATCATTTGAGGCCTCTTGTCTTGGATTGAACCTCATGATAAAACTATACGGCAAGCCTTTCACTCTCAAGATCTTATTAGTGATTCTCCTTACTGTCTGACATACAATTCTTCTGATTGTAGTTGTGAGAATTTGGTTTTGGATCGATTAACATTCTTCAAATTACTATTTTGTTTTTCACTAGTGTAAGGGTTAACTTAATAGCCAAAACATGAGCCTGAATTATAGTTGCATTTTGATCTACTGGAGGACAGATACGCAGTTGATGTTTCAATTTACCAACAACAATTTACTTCTTTATTATATAAAACAAATAGTTTCCATGTTGCTGTGAGTCACAGAAGATGTCAAAATGTGGTGAAAACATTGTTGAGTGACACCCTTCCCTGCACCTTGTGCACAACTTTTTTGTCCTTAATATCTTAACCTCATCTGTAACCCTTTCCTGAACAGATGTATGACAACATGGAATCTATCTGTTAAAATAGACATGTGTTTTCTGATCAGTAGAAGAGTATATGCATTGCTTGGTCAGCATGCAGATGTCAGCTATCGTAAGATTTTATATGCTCTACTGAATAAGATTAGAACCGGAGTTAAGCACAGGCCTAATGGGCCACTAGGCTCGTAAACAGACTTTACCTTTTTTACTGAATAAGATTAGGATAATTCATTCAGCTAATTAGAAGAGCCCCCGTATTGCCGTCACTGTTAATCCTTTTATGCAGAATTTCAGCTATCGTAAGATTTTATATGCTCTACTGAATAAGATTAGGATAATTCATTCAGCTAATTAGAAGAGCCCCTGCATTGCCATTACTGTTATTCCTTTTATGAGACAGAATCAAGGCTGCACACTACAATTCTGACCTTTGTCCTTGCAGAGGTAGTTTGCACCTGGAAAATCCTTCAGATCAGCAATTATTTTCATGGAAAGTTTACAATCTAAGATCATTGAACCCTGGAAAATGTCTCAATTCCAAAACTCCTGGTGGCAGTACCAGCATTGACCAAAGGGCTAGTGGCAGGTTCCATCATCTAAGTTATCTTTAGTTATCATTTAACTGAAGTTAAATGATAACTAAAGCTGCCTGAGTTAGTGAATGGAGAAGATGCAGCTGATGGCTGGGACTGTGGCACCAAACGAGTGTGGAAATTGTAGAGGTTAAGGTTCATACGAGACCAGTCTGCCAGGCCTGATGCAGCTGCATCCTTCCAAAAGGCAGTGTCTAGTGAAACCAGGCCTTGCCAGGGAACTGATGCATGGTCTTCAGAATCAGGAGCTTGTACTGTGTCATGTCTTGCCATCTAGAAGGATGCAAGCAGCTGAAAATCCACATGTAGACTGTAAATGCCTTCACCCCCCAGTTGACAATGTCAGTGATCTCTTGTATCCTTTTCTTTGATGAACTGACCAGAAGTTTGCCGTCAAGATATGTTTGCAGCTCCACTTGCAGAGCCTTCAGTTTTCACCTAGTAGGTCAGCCATATCAACAAATTGCCCTGATGTAATCTTAGTAACCAGCTTCTCTGGGATGGTAGAATAACCTGGACCAACTGAGAAGAAGAGATCCCTGGAAAAATGGTAGATGCAGGAACAGAACTGGCAGGGAAGGCCAGTGCAGAAGACTGGCCGATGGCAGAAAGCACTCTGTTCGCAGTGCCCTGGGAGCCAAACAAAGACAGTGAGGTTAAAGACAAATTACCTAACATGTAATACATGGAAATGAATGAAGGCACAACAAAATCACCTGATGATAAGCCTGCAGAGGATGTGGAAGAATTGATGGCAGAGGAGCCTGAAGAAGTTGAGCTTGAGAGCATGTTTCCCACTGACATGTAACGCAACACTGAGAGACGTGTAGTGGCTTTGCATGGCTGCCAAAATGTGAGGCAATGACTTGCCTAATGCTCGGGAGATGGCTAGACTGAGATCCTGAGCAGAGAGCACAAAAGAAGGAAGGGAGGCTGCAGGGGCTGAGGCAATCAAGGTTTCTGTTAAGGAAGGAGGTCAGGCACTGCAGAAGACTGGACTGAATAATTAATTTCAAAGATTCTGCTTTCAAAACAGTGTTTGTTCATCAACTTTTTTTATATTTTCCTGTTAGGCACAATGTGCACAAGACTGAGATGTACTGTGATTTGTCGGGTACATTAAAGAGAATCCAGGAAACTCAAGTATCATCAGAACAGGTGAATCCTTGTTTATTATTTGTTTATTATCTGGTATTATCAAGAGGAAAATCGAGTTTATCAAGAGAGTTTAGGATAAAATGATTATCATAACATTAGGAGTAGGATCAATTTGGCCATCAGCACACAGAAAGCACTGAAAAAAATTAAGTACTGCAAACACCTATGTTAATTAAGCCTCATTTGCAGATGAGAAGCATCTCGAGTTTGACTACTCAAAAGAAATTGCAAACATGTGCATGAAGCCACTAACATTGAAAATGGGAAACACTTTGAATCCTTACCTATAATTTTAGCTCTAATAGAGTGGGCATCATACCAAGGGATTTAATTAATTTCGGAAGTAGGCGTACATTAGGACACAAGTAGGAGGAAGATAGTTCAACGGTAATCAAGGCAGATTTGTCACCAGTCTGACCTTCTCTTCTGTCCATTCAACATAGGGCTCACTGAACTGATTGTGTTGTTGATTGAATTGCAAGAACTCATTACAAAAATCACCCAACAACCAAAAACGAGACAAAATTTCAACCAAAAAAAAAAAAACCTTTACTGATGGACTGCCTTTAGAATATATTGAATGTTTTCCAAAAAACACGCAAAAACCAGGAGGTGGATTGACCATAGTAGCCAGCTCCTTTGTGGAGAGTAGCCACCAGAATTCGCCAGTTGCCAGCTTCTAATGAAATCCCTACACACAGTATCTACTGACTAAGACTTACGTTCAACCAGTATTATTTTCATTCTTGTCAGATTTTCA